GTTTGCACTAGTGAGTGCAACAGCTGGGACTGTGGTGAACCAGACTGGCAAGGCCGCAGCACCCATCGGCATGCATATGGGCTGGGTGTGGGGGCGGGCCAGACTGAGTAAGGCTCCAGCACTCACTGGTGCACTTGCGAGCTTGAATGGGTGTGGGACAGGCCAGGCTAGGCCACAGCATCCACTGGGTCACACGAGAGCCAGGTCTGGGGTAGGCCAGGCTGGGATAGGCTGTAGTACCCACTGGTTAGAACCAGAATGGTACAGACCATCCAGGCTAGGCTGCCATACCAGTTGGCAAGTGCCAGGACTGGGTGTGAGCATGTCAGGCTGTACTGCAGTACTCCCTGGCACTTGTAGGATCCAGGGCAGGGAGCATGCCTGACAGGAACTTAGTACTCCTCTGCTAAGCTTTATTTCCTGATGAGCCAGGCCTGGAGGCATGCCAGGCTGGACAAGGCAGTGGCACCTGTTGGCATATGTGAGGGCTGGGTCTGGCAGTGGGGAGGGCTGAACTCAGCCATAGCACCCATGGGTGTGTGCCTAAGAGCGAGATGAAATGTGGGCTGAGCCAGGTTAGACTGCAGCAGAGGCAGGCATGCATGAAGATGGGAAGGGGTGGGCCTGGTGGGGGTTAATGAGGGCTGTCCTGACTAAGCCATGGCACCTTCTGGTATGTGAGAGGAATGGAACCGTGGCGGGCTGGCTGGACTGGGCCTCGCATCTCTCAGTTCACATGAGATATGGGGCTGGTGGCAGAAGTGACCGGGCAATGCCATCCATCAGTATGTGCACTGGCTGGTGAAGATGTCAGACTGAACTTGACCCTGCACTAGCTGGTACACACAGGAGCCAGGTCTGGAGTCACCCCAGGTGAGGTGTCTTGGGGAGTGCCCAACCAGCCTGCTGGCCTCAGATCCTGGTCACAGGAAAACCAGAGGCTGTGTGGTTTGATCTTGGCGTGCATGTATCAGGACTGGGGCTCCTCCACGGCTGATGCCCGTGCAGTGGTCAGCTTGCCCAGATGCACACGGGGGACACGATGGCCAGCTCACTTTGGCCAGCAGGGAATGTCAACTGCCTCTTCTGAGGATGGAAAGCAGAACATGTTTCACAGTTCTCTTGGCCAAGTGTCGTAACATGTTCCTGGGCCTGGGGATGCACCAAGATGGACTTGGTCAACCAAGAGACCCTGGAAATATTTTTCTCTACTCTAGTGCAACAAATTCAATGACATCTTAGAACTATCGAAATCACTCGAGGAACACCCTCGGAACACTTCCCACATGGAGGGAGGTCTCTGAGGTGTCATCTAATGACCATCCCCCATCCTCAGGTGCTGTACTGGACAGCAAGGAGCGGCTCCCCTCCCCGCTTCCCTCCTTCCCTCCTGCCCCAGGACACAGGAGAAAAACAAAGCAAAGCAAAACAAAACAAAAGTGGAACATTTGTCCCATCCAACTTCCTCCACACCAAATCCTTCCCACCCCATGGGTGTGCATCCTTCTCAGCTATGCAAACAATATTAAAAAGAAAATAAAAAATAAAGATAACAATTTCTTCATGTCAGCAAATCTCTTAAATCTTTGCTATGTGCAGACGGACCCTCCCAACCATCTCACTCTCCCCTGCATTAGACAAGAACTCTGCCACCCTGCAAACCTACAGCTGCCCCAGCCACTGCACCTGGGCAAAGCTGTGGCCCCTGTCCAGTCCTGGGCCATCCTGCCATAAGCACTGGATGCCAGGGCCCTCCTCCCAGCTTCCCAGAGTGGGGTGGCCCCGGGGGCCCTGGATACCCCATTTCTCTCCAAGTATTCCACCGTCAGCTTCCAAGAGTTAAGAAAAAACAGGCCTGCAACATGCTCTGTTCAGAATGTGCCAGCAGACTGCAGGGAGAGATGGAGAGAACGTGCACTGCTTGGGTAATTTGAGGCCCCGCGATTGTCCCATTAGGCTGAGCCTGGACCCGCTCGTCCCCACAAGGCGCCCCCGCCACCCGCCCGTCCTCCCACCCCAGGCGGACCCGGGACTCGCTTGTCCCCACCAGGAGGAACTGGGACCCGCTCGTTTCGCACCCCCTCCAAGCGTCCCCAGGACCCGCCACGTTCTTTCCAGGAGGAACTGGGGACCGGCTCGTCCCCACCAGGCGCCTACGGGACCCGCTCGTCCCCACCAGGCGCCTACGGGACCCGCTTGTCCCCACCAGGCGCCCTCGCCACCCGCTCGTCCCCCCCAGGAGCTCCTGGGACCCGCTCGTTCCTTCCAGGAGGAACTGGGACCGGCTCGTCCCCACCAGGCGCCTACGGGACCCGCTTGTCCCCACCAGGCGCCCTCGCCACCCGCTCGTCCCCCCCAGGAGCCCCTGGGACCCGCTCGTTCCTTCCAGGAGGAACTGGGACCGGCTCGTCCCCACCAGGCGCCTACGGGACCCGGTCGTCCCCACCAGGCGCCCTCGTCACCCGCTCGTCTCCACCAGGAAGACCCAGCACACGCTCACCCCGTTTTTCCTAGCACAGCCGCGGAGTGACCCAGGCCCTGCCATGGCCCGAAGTGGACGCCCACCTGTAGGCCCACACCTCAGCCTCGGTCCCGAGGTGAAGCTCGAGATCGCCGGCCCCGACAGGTCCCCTTCAAGTTGCGAAGGAACATCGCCAGCGCACAAGAAACACCCAACAGTCCCCCAGAGTACTTTCAACATACCATCCGAGCCGCTAGCCGCCTTTTTTCCCAACCCGGAAGTGCTGCGCTGCTGGGAGCGGAAGTAGCCTGCGTCACTTCCGCGCCACTCGGCGTCACGCTGCCATAGCAACCAAGATGCTGTCTCCTGGGGGACGCTTACCTAAGCTACCAACTCAGCTGTTTAAGTTTAAATTTCCTCCGCAGCCTTAAGAATTCCTTCCTACCTTAAGTTGATTCAGCAAGTTTTTGTGGAGCTCCAGCTTTGGTTCAGAGATGAATAATCTAGAAACACAGTAACAAATCAACCCAGATGATGACACATTCTCCTGTAAGAGTAGTCAAATAGCAACATGATGGAGAATGACCGGGGACAATGGGTGCTGCTTCAGATGAAAAGGAAGTCTTTTTTGGCAAAATAAAAAAAAATTAGAAAGTGAAAGTTACAGAGAGAGGGGGAGAAAGAGAGATTGAAATTCCAACAGCTGGCTCACTCCCCAGATGACCACAATGCCTAGGGCAGTACAGGTAGATGCCAGGAGCTCCATTGGGGCTCCCACGTGGCTACCCAAGCAGTTGGGCAATCCTCTGCTGCTTTCCCAGGCCACAAGCAGGGAGTTGGATCAGAAGTGGAGCGTCTGGGACTTGAACCAACAACCATATGGCAGTGGTGCAGGCTGCAGCTTTACCTGCTAGACCAAAACACCAAGCCCACAAGGAAAGATTTTCAGGGAGTGACATCTCCATAGAGCTTCAGATGGAAGGGCAAGGGAACATCTAGGCTGGAGAGCGTGTCAGACTGTAAACAATCCAAAAACCCCAACGAGGGCTGCTGGAGGAAGCGAGATCAGGGCCGCTGGGGCGTGGCGAGATCAGAGGTATGGTGGGATCGGTGCACAGTGAGCCGACGGTTAGAAGGCAAGCTTTCACCGTGCCTCCCGGGGAGGGGACTCTGGACCACCGAGTGTTTCGACATTTTGCCAGATGAACATTGGCATGTGGGCAGCAAGTCTGGCCTGCAACAGTCCTCTGGGTTGTGACCAAGCACTCTTAGCCCCACCTGCGCGTGGAAAATTCCAACAAATTGTCAAAAGTGACTTACCCGATCCTTCTAGTTGTGCAGTCTGTGGTCTTTTTGCGGTTCGTTGTCATGTGGCCTGGCAGGTAAGGTGCACCCGCTACAGCAGCCTCTATGGGAGCAGGCAGCGTCTCTGCTGCTCTGTCTCCTGGCTCGCTCCCTGCTGATGGCCTAGGACAGGGAGCCGAGCATGGCCCTGAGTTTGGGCCCCTGCCATCCAGGTGAGAGATCAGAATATAGCTCCTGGCTCCTCTGGTGTGGGCATCTGGGCAGTGAAGCAGTGATGGATAAACAAACAAACCCATCCACCCAGATGAGCCACTTTGCCTGTTGATCTGCCACCTTAAAAATCACAAAACTCAGCCCAGACATCCACACTGCTTGCATGCTGACAGACGGAGGTCAAATAGGATATTTGAGAAAATGTCCAAATGACTCCTCAGTTGTGGCCAGTGGGAGGACTGGAAATCTGCACAAACTTTCATGGTGCGCTTGCAATTTTTCTGTAGGTTTGACTTTTTTTTTCAAGAGAAAGAGTTGGGGAAGTGGATTTTAACCTTAATAAACCCAGAGTCCCAAATGCCATCTCCAGACGCGCTGTTAGCCAGTGTAGTTTGGGTAAAGTGTATCTTCAATTTCCTTCCATCGTGCTGCAAAAAGTCCCCTGGATCCAGTCCTGCACAATCCTGTAACGGTGGGAAAACACAATCCAACCATTTCATGGCAGAGAGAGCAAGGTGGCGGGGCAGGGAGTAGGCGGGGAGAGATGGGGTTCGGTGTCCTGGAATTGAAGTAAACGTAGTTGACTAGTCGACGTAGTTTAGAGCTCTGTTGCTTTTAACCCAAGCAGCGATAACTCGGGTTTTCTCTGTGGACTTTTAAAAACTCCACCGGTGTACCTCAGGCCGCAGGTAAACCTCTGCAGCTGTGGGCGCCGTTTGGCGTCCCGTCGCCAAGGAGACGGAACGTCCTATTTTCCGCGCAGGGGGGGCTTGATCTTCCCTCCTCTCCCAGTCTGCAGCGCGATGCCAGAAAGATGCTCCTAGGAACCAGCGGGGTTTCTGTCTAGCTCCGAGCGTCCTCTGCCCCGAGCGGGCGTGGCGACGTGGGCGCAGCCCGCTCCGAGGGAGGCCGGGCATCCGCGGCCCTCCCCGGCCCTCCGCGGTGGTGCGGCCCGGGGCGCGCGGTCGGGGCTTCGCGAAGCCGCCGGGACGTGAGGCAGCTCGCAGCCGAGGCCCTCAGGATGCCCGAGGCCGGGAGCGACGACCAGGACCTTTTGAAATGGAAGAAGAAGAAGCCGCCGGTGCGCCGCACCGTTAGCCAGATCTGCCCGCCCCCTCGGCGGCCCCTGACGGTGGCCGACATCCGCCCGGGCATGGAGAACGAGAGGCTGGGGGTCGTGCGGGACTCCATGTTTCAGAACCCGCTCATCGTCAAGGTGAGCCTCGCCCACGCGTGCCGGTGTCCAGCTCCGAATCTCGGCCCGCACCGCCGCCCCGGGTCCGGCGCTCGTCGCCTTGCTGAGCCTCAGGGCGCTCGGCTCCCCATCCCCGAAGTGGGGCGCTAAGGGCGCCGGCGAACCGGAGGAGTGATGGGAGAGGGAGGAGCGGAGGCTTCCCCCCGCGCGCTCGCGGCGTCGCCTTTCCCCCGCGCCCGTCCGGGCGGCCTCCGTGCGCTCCCGTTAACTTCACAGGTTCACTTCTGCCACCCTCCCACGAGGGAGAAAGGTGCGGATCTGCAGCGCAGGTGTCCCTGGCCAGCGCCGGCGTGTCACCAGCGCCCTGCCCAGGGTCGCGCCGGGAAGGGCCAGCGGGCTGGAGCTGGGGCGCTTGGGGCGCTGGGGCGCCTGGGGTGCTTTGGGGGCGTTGGGGTGCTTTGGGGGCGTTGGGGTGCTTTGGGGCGTTGGGGTGCTTTGGGGCCGGCCGGGCGCGAACTCCCCCGGCGCCGCTGGAGGGCAGTGCGCCTTTACAAATGGACGCGCCGCGCGGATGGTGCAGGTGCGCGCCTGGGGACCCCGCGGCGAGGACAGAGTGAGTCCAGCGGGGGTGGTGGGTGGGTTCGAGTGTGGGTTTGGGGGCGGGAGGAAGTCAGCGTGGGTTCTCTTATTCCTGCGCTGGAATGAGCTCAGTTAATTGGCTCCTGGGAAGACACCTGCTCTCTCTTCTTGGAAGAGGGATGGGGTCGGGGTGCAGGCGATGAAGTGGGAGGATGGCCTCCCGACCCGGCGCCCTTCCTAAGCCGCCGCAGTGCCACTCCCCTCCCCTGGTGCGACAAGGTGTTTCCTGTTCTGAGGGTCTAGGAGACGTCCTCAGCCTCTCGCTCTGCTTTGATAGTGGGGCCACTCGTGAGCGGGGCCAGCTCTTTCCCAGGACCAGGTGACGAGCGTGTGGAAGTCTCTCTCACATAGTGAGTGCGCGTGTGGTGCCCGCCCCAGGGGTGTTGGTACACGTGTGCGGATTCTACTGTAGGGAGCGTAGGTGTGAGCGTCACGTCGTGTCTGGGCTTTCCTCCCCGTTGGCGGGGTCCGAATAGCGGACAACGGAATACTGGCCGCTGGGTGGCACTAGCTCGACCGTTTCCCATTCCATCCTGGACTTGGGTCCCAGAGTCCGGGAGCGAGGGGACCGCCCCTGCCTGCAGCTCTGGCTGGGTGGGTGAGATGCCCGGTGGGATGGCCCTGGCCTTTGCTGAGCGTGCAGGGCGCACGGCGCTCGCGCGCTGCCCTGGCGGCGGAGGGAGCTTTGGGTCCTCTGCTCCTGCCTGGGCCGGCGGCCTTTCCCTCGGATTTCCCTTCCCGGGTCTTCAAGGCCCCGAGGTCCTTTCTGTAGCAGGTAAGGCTGGATCCCACATTTCAGAACTTGCCACCTCCTGTACGATTTTCTTTCAAAATCCCGACAAATCAAAGTCGGCAGAGAAGTTGAGCTTGAAAAGAAAGCTTGACCACTGCTTTTTCTAGACCGTTCACTGCAGGGCTTTTTGCGCCAGGGTCTGGCTGAGCCTGGATTAAGAAGTCATGGTCACTGACTCCCAGCCCAGTGTGAATGTTTGTTTAAGAATTCTTATCTGAAAGGCAGAATTACACAGCAAAGAATCTACCAGCGAAATGGCCGCAACAGCTGGGGCTGGGCCAGGCTGAAGCCAGGACACCCTCAGGGTCTCCCGAGTGGGTGGCAGGGACCCAAGGCGTTTGGGCCGTCATCTGATACTTTCCCAAGTACGTTAGGAACAGGTTGGAAGTGGAGCAGCCAGGGGACACAGATGTAGGCGGTGGCTTGAGCTGCTAGGCCATACACAGTTCCCTCAGCCCAGCATTACTTTAGCCACTCAGAAAAAACAACAAAAAATAGAATAATTTTTAGAAAAAATGAGGTTTTTGGCTTTTAAGAGGAGAATTGAAAGTATTTAATGTTTTTCGCCTTGAAGCCATGCCCGTGTGTGTCCCCTGACATTCTGTGGAGCTCGGCTGTCTGCTTCGTGGCTTGTCGCGCAGCCTGGCTGGTGTCTGCCTTCTCCTGGCCGTGGGTGGCAGGGCTCCACAGGACCATCGTCAGCACCGGGAGAGTGACGGGGCTGTGTGTGTTTGGGTGTTGTCTCGGTCTGAACCTACATGTGTACATTTCTGGTGGAAGAATCCAGCACCTTGAAAGCAGTCATTTATTCCACCCCTCTGGAAGGGGGTGGGGGTTGCCCACAGTGTGTGCTCCAGTGAATGGGATCAGCAATTTTTTTTTTTTCATTGAAAATGCAGAAGCACCAAGTGAACAAACCCAACCGTGGTGTTTGGCACCCTGGAATTTCCCAGCATGCGTCCACATCACTTATTGAAGAACATGTGTGCCAGGTGCCACTGAAAGCGAGTGAACAGGGACAAACAGATCCGAGAAGGGCTCGGCGGCGACCCACCGAGCGAGTGACAGGAGAAGGTGGCGCTGCTTGCCCTTAGCGCGGGCTGCTGCTCTGCTGTGTGAAGGGGTGAAGGGACGTGCCGTTAGCCCGGTGCCTCTCTGGGTGGGAAGGATAAAATCAACCAGAGAATGCACCAAGCCTCCTCCTGCTTGAATCTCGCTTTCCGGGAATCTGGGACTCGACATGGAATCCTGCGACAATCGCCTTCCAGGCTGTTTCCCGGCACCTGTCACAGAGGCGCCCTTTCTGCCGTCGGAACTCAGCTGTCAATACAATTACAGGGAGAGACTGCTGGGCTCGCTCCGCTGACAGCCCTGACTCTGCTGTCGCCCTGGAGAGGAAGCTCTGTTCAGGGCTCCAATGCAAAGCGCCGACGATCACGGTGCCCCGATTTTTCCATAATTTATTGCTGACTTTGTTTTTTTTCTGTGGGCGTTTATGTCACAAATAAGAAGCGCATGCATTTGTAAAGTTGAGTCATAGAAACACAGTGTTGGGAGAGTTGGGGGGTGCAGAGAGAAGGTGACAGACAGAATCCCAGCTCAGTCGGGGGTGGGATGGGCTGCTCTGAGGTGGGAGCAGAAGGAGGGGAGACTTGGGTGCCCTGGCCTGCTCCCTGGGAGCTTTTGGACAGAAGCTGTAATTAGTGAGTTGGGGACGCCTTAGCTGGCACAGCAGCCAGCCAGAAGGAGCAGTCACAAGCTCGTCTGATTCCAGCATCATTTCTCCGTGTTCCTCCCATGGTGAACTTGATCCTGCCTCAGTACTTGTGGACAGCCAAGAGATACTTCCAGAAGGTTTACGAGACATAGTGCCGTCTTGGAGAGCACAGGTTTTAGGATTCAGCCTTGCCCACCAAGAATTAACTGAAATATTTAGTTAGGGACCTGGGATCTGTGTCTTTGTATAGTACCTGCCTCCAAGACACTGTCAGGAAATGCTAGCTCTGTTGTGCACACATACACGCGCACGCACACACAGCAAGACAGGCAAGGTCATGGGCAGGCTTATAAGTGAATCGCACTGCCCAGAAGGGGTCCTGAATGGGGGCAGGGCTTGGGGGAGCTTCATAAAGAAACAGACCTGGATGTGGGCCTTGAACAGGCGTGAGAGACGGAGTCAGCTCAAGGTGAGGAGCTGGGAAAGAAAGCCAGGCTCCCGAGGTACTGCCTGCGCCTCGGTCCCCGCCAACTCCGGTTCTAGCTTCTAAGCCTCAGCATCTTGGCCAAGAATGTGGCAGTGATCGTCACGAGGAAGCCTTTATTTAGAGCCGATGTGCTCCAAGTGGATGCACTGCAAAGTGAGGCAGCTGTGCTGTGCTCGCGTAGCGTCACGTTGCTGTCAGACCTTGGGTGTGAGCGCAGACCTGAGCGAGACGGGTAGCAGGTGGACACAGCAGCCGTCCCAGCGCTGGCCGGTCTGCTTTTTAGGTTTGTGCACTGCGTGGAAACACAGCATGAGGCTTTTTCTGCGCAAGAGAATATGCCTCTGATTGTTCACATCCTTTTACGTTCAATTATGACATAATAGAAAAATAGAACGCATTGGAAGGGATTAAGAAGTGTGCTTTCCGAGCTGATGGGCTGGTCTTGGCTGGTGGCTGGGCAGGTTCCATTGTTCTAGGGAGCGAGGTGGGCTTATCTATCCTTGCAACTCTCCTACTTTTCTTTTCCCTTCTTTTTAAAATCAAAGCCTCCCTCTTTCTAGTGCTGTGAGGTAGGGCCTCGTGAGGAGGGAGGCTGAAGCGAGGAACTAAGCCCGCTGCCCAGCCCCTGGGGGCTCCTTCCCCTGGCTTGTCACCACCGCCTGGGGGCAGGTGCTCTGCTGGCGGAGCCGCCTTCCTCTTTGTCTCCCAGCAAAAGGGGTGCTCATGCTTTGAAGCCTTAATGAGGCTCAGACCTTAGAGTGTGGGTGCTTCCCCCAGAACTCAGTTGCCTTCAGTGGATGGCAGAGTGCTGCGGTGCCATGGCTGGGTCCCGCAGGAATTCTGAGGCCTGGGTGAACAAGTTTAGCGCTGACTTTCAGCACCTTTTGCAGGGTTCCAGGCACAAGCGTTATTATTCATTGTGTAATTCTGGCTGCTTTTTCCTTATTTGGAAGACTGGGTTGTCTTGACTTAGCACTGGCCTGTGCAGACAGAATTTTGATACTGTTTTTTATTGAAGATATTTTCAGACTACTAAGGTTGCATGAACTAGAAGAAGTCAAATAGATTTTTTTTGTAAAGAAGCCGCATCTTTATTTTAAAAATTTAACCACAAACTAAATCCAGTTCGGTGCTGACGCTGGATCCCACCACGGAGCTGCTAGGTTTGGGATGTTAGTTCTGTGACTGCAAGAGTGTCCCATGCAGGGCCCGGTGCAATGGCGCAGTGGTTAAGGTCCTCACCTTGCACGCCCGGGATCCCATATGGATGTCAGTTCTAATCTCGGCAGCCCTGCTTCCCACCCAGCTCCCTGCCTGTAGCCTGGGAAAGCAGTCGAGGACGGCCCAAAGCTTTGGGACCCTGCACCCGGAAGAGGCTCCTGCGC